CTGATATTCTGCTTTGTTATGTGCCCCTCTTTCCACTTTTTATACTTGTCCTTTTTATCTTTCAATTTATCAGAGAGTTCTTTATGCAGCCATGCTGGTTTCTTTTGAGAGCTGTTATTTTAAGTTCTGGAGATACAATCTGATTTCAGCAGCAGCACTGGGGATCTCATTGAAAATATCTGACAGATAATGGAAATGCCAAGTGAGTTCTTAAGACATTTGTTTCAGTGCTGGTTCTACACAGCCTATGAAGCAGGAGTTGCCACAAAGTGTGGACAACTCTTAAAAAAATAGGGCTATGTGTTTAGAGGCTATCCATACCTATGTTGGAAGTCAGCACCCATCTATCCTCCTAGAGAAGGAAATATTTTGGGGGATATTAAAAAAGGCAGAAAAAAAAGGAATAATGGAGAAAAATCTTAGGTAGAATCCAGCCCCTAGTCTCCTTCTCCCAAGCAGGCCAGCTTTTAGAAACACAGATTTGGGGCCATCTATTCATAAGCAAAATGCCTTCAGCCCCAGCCCCAGCAAAAGTTTGAGCTGATGGAATTAGAAAAACAAAGACTCCAAGGATAGGAGCATGACCTTTCAGACATAATAGGATTAAGTCTACACCCTCTTCAGACTAGCAAAAGACACGACACAAATCCCACCTCATTGCATACCCCCCTGGAACATTCCAAACACAAAATCCCAAAGAAGGTATAAAACCCCACCTATCCTAACTCCATTTTGGTCAGCCGTCCCAGAACCACATGTTGTTGGTTCTGTTCTTCAATAAACAGAACCTTCTTTCTAAACAGCCTCCATTTTATTTATTTGTGGCTTGGAACTGGATCTGGAGATTTCTCTTTCAACATCTAACATGCAGATATTTTACACTGACTAGAAAATAACAGTCAAAATGGATATTGAGCAACCAACTGCTTCAATAGAGTGTGCCAAAATGTATACTATCATCCTATCTACTTAACACATGCAGATTATATTATGAAAAATTCTGGGCTACAAGAAACAGAAACTGGAATTAAAATTACCAGAAGAAATATGAACAATCTCAGAAGTTGTGATGAAACTACTTTGGTAGCCTATTTTTTACTGAAGATGAAAAACGGGAGTACCGGAGCCAGGATGGATACAGTAACAGATTTTACTTCCTGGGCTCAAAAGTCTATAGAAATAATGATTATTACAATGAAAAAATAGACTCTGCTTCTTGGGGGAAAGATCATAAATAAAATGTTAAAATGTAAAGACATCACATTACTAAAAAAAATCTGTATTGTCAAAGCCACAAACTGTTTGTAATATATGACTGTGAAAGCTGTACCATCAGAGAGACTGAATAAAGAAAAATCAATGCACTTGAATAGTGGTGCTGGAAAAATTGCTGAGAGAAACCTTGGACAGGAAGAAAAGCAAATAATTCAATACTAGATTAAGTAAAAACTGTCAGCTCACTGGAAGTGCTAATGATGAAATTAAGGCTTAAATATAGTGGTCACATGATGTGAAACCAAGACACTGATGTTTAGAAAAATAGAATAGAAAAAGAAGCCAGCTGAAGACAAGAAACCAGATATCACAAGCATGATGAGCTCATAAGAACTCAAATAAGTTCTTGACAGGCAGTCTTGGCGAGCTGTATCTGTCACATCATCCAACAACATTTGTTGTTGGATGAACAACAAAAATGATACCTGGATTTGATCAGCACTTTTTTTCTTTATTCCTCTACCTTTGCCAATGGTAAGTCCAGGGCATTTATGGTATTTACAAATTGCTGCTGCTAATCCAGAGACCAGCAGCTGAGCTATAATGCTCTTCCAGAACAACTGACTTTCCACAGATGTCACTGTCTGTTGAGTTGCTGCACTGCAGTGGATTACCTCTCACTGCTTTACTTTGGTTTTGTTGCAGTTCAGCAGGTAAGCTAAACAAAAGGAGACATGTGGACAGTTTTGCTGTGATTGCTCAGGGCAGGAAATGCTGTGCCTCCAAACAACAGGGGAATGCTCTTTCTTGTAAAGCTCCATTCCTTCTGACTTCTGGTCACCACCACGTAGCCCACCCACGTTATGGCAATACATTGTTACAGGCCCAAGGAAATATATGAATGTGTAAGCCACAGTTCCACAGGTTTCACTGAGAGGGAGATGAGGAAACCTGTGTACTTTTGTTAACTGACACATATAAAATGAAATCTATTTGGTTATAAGCAGTTGGGAAGTATCTGTATCTTTCTAATACTGTATGGGGTCTTTGTAATCACTCTAAACAACCACAAAGATGCATTTTTGGAGGAGAGCCTCTAGACTTACTAATATTTTTCTATTTGGTGGAATAACCTCTAAAGCTGTTAAATTGCAATTCTCACACTTTTAAGTCACTATGACGGATGGGTATTATGGGAGTTATATTCTAATATATCAAGAAATGCCAGGTTGAAAAAGGCTCATACATGCAATTCATTTTTGCTTGATTGAAACAAATTATGTCCACGTTTTATGCCCAGAAATGCTATGTTGGACAATAAAAATAATCAAAATTCCCCATGAACTGTAAGTATCCTTTTCTCTGTGCTGAGAATAAAGTATGTGAGGGACCAAAAATATTTAACCCATTGTTTAATAGAAGGTAAGAGATCTAAATCTCATCGAAAGAATTTAAAATATTTTTCAGTAGTTCTCATGCTGTTGTTCTTCCCTCGTGTGCAAGTTGTATAAAAATTGGAGCAGTAGTAAATATTGCAATCTCCAATCTGGCAGAACTACATAAAGCAGGTGGCAGGGAGGGAATATGTTGTGCTAAAACAGTCACAGGAGGCAACTCTTGAAATTGGCAGATGCTGGAAAGAAGCCCACCTTTACTGCCTTCTTTTATACTGTGATCTCATCAGAAAAGATTACTATTAAATATCTGGCTTACATGATTGTGGTTGATGTCATGAATTGGCTAGATAATCTTTGATGTCTGCCAATTAATCTGAAAGTCAGCTTTCAAATGCAGAAAGCATTTAGTAAATGGAACCCCTGGTACGGAAGCTTTTGATTAATTTGATATGCCCCACATTTAACACCAAATGGCATTTGACTGCTGTGCAACATTGTTACTATCAGCACCAATGATATATAAGTGATACTTTTTTTCTCATATTTATTGCCTTTTTGTAATCGAAATAAATTCAGAATTCTCAGTGTGAGTATTATATCTTTGCATTCAGAGAGAGAATAAGGCATTTGAATGGATTCAGATTTTGCCGTAATATTAATGGGATATCCTAGCTATGAGTGCTGGAAGCCTTACTGATTTAAATGTTTCTACAATTATTGTGAGGAGAACCCGATCTTAACTATTGCTGAAACAAAATAATTTTTAATGTCTGTGTTTGAATATGTCTGCATGAGAGTTAATCTGTATCACATTTTTAATTCAATGAGTTGTTTATATTTTATTTATATTTATATTTAATTATTTAAATAAAAAGAATAACATTTGATTGCAGGCATCTTTCCTTTGAGTATGTGAACTGCTGGATATACTGATCAGAAAGAACAGCAAGACAGATCTTTTCATTTACTGGTCTATTCCCGGTAATGAAAGATTCCTATTTGAAACATGGAGAAACTGCTGTTTGATACTAAAAGCTAAATAATCTGGTTCAACATGAATCAACTTGAGTTATTTCTAGGGATATTTCCATCATACTTTCAAGGCCTGCTGTCTTGAAAAGGTTGATGTAGTCGAGGTAATAAAATTTATATGACAGGCCCCTGGTCCTGTCACTTCAACTCTATATACCAGTGATGGTAAACCTTTTAGAGACCGAGTGCCCAAACTGCAACCCAAAACCCACTTATGCATTGTCGAGTGCCGGGTGGATGTGGCCCATTGGCTAGGTGTGGCCAATTGAATGGGCATGGCCAGTTGGGTGGGCGTGGCTGTGGTGGTAACGGCAGACTGGGTGGGACTAAAAAGTTCAATCAATCAATTTCAACTTTGCAAGATCTTTTTTTTTCCCCGCAAGAAGTTGAAATTGACTGATTGAACCTTTTTTTTTTTGCACATGGCGGCGGAGGCCTAAAGCGAAAAGGTTTTATAAAACCCAGCTGAAGGCCTAGAACTGGGGCAATGGTGCGCGTGCCCACAGAGAGGGCTCTGAGTGCCGCCTCTGGCACCCGTGCCATAGGTTCACCACCACTGCTATATACCATAGTTAACATCTGAATAGATGTGTTTTGGAGGAGGCTCAAGTGAGTCCCTTTTTGGAGCATTATCCAAGCCTTTTCTTAAAATCAATACTTTGCTAATTTGCTAGGAGCTCCACATAGTCCATAAATTGTAGGCATTTTGAGTGAAGCCATGTTTAAGTAGTTGGGGGTGCCAAGGGCAGAACTGACGCTCCAAACTCTGTAGGGGTTAAAGCACCCATGTCACCACTCAGAACTCCCATATTTATTATCATTATTATGTCAGTTGGCCAAATATTTAGAGTGAAAAATGGCTGAAATGTTTGGCTCTTTCCAGTCAGAGAAAATACTCGTTATTGGCACATATGGATAATACCTTGGTTCACCAAATGAGATAAGAAAAATGAATGCTCTCATTCCTTAGAAAATAAATAAGTTCAAAACATATGAGCCATGGTGGTGCAGTGGTTAGAATGCAGTATTGCAGGCTAATTCTACCAACTGCAGTTTGAATCTCATTGGTTCAAGATTAACTCAGCCTTCCCTCCTTCTGAGGTCGGTAAAATGAGGACCCAGATTGTTGAGGGCAACATGCTGACTCTGTAAATCACTTAGAGAGGGCTGTAAAACACTATGAAGCAGTATATAAGTCTAAGTGCTATTGCTATTGCTATAAGGTAATGTGATGACTATCTCCAAGCTCCCAGGGGCATTTACATTGTTTTAATTTAAAACACTGGATTTATTGAAATAATATAAGAATGCAGATCAAGACTGACCAAGTAAATTCATCCTAATATTTTATTTTAATATCAGATAAAACGTGGATTACAGAAGAACTGATACTGGACGTCAATATAGAGCCTAAGCCACAGCATATGCATAATTGCTTTGATACCTGACAATTGGGGTTTTAAATAGTGGTTATTCCTGTACATGCATCTAAATGTTTTAATTCTTCATTTCTGGATAGACTAGGAAGTGTTTGATGGCAAAAAACATGAGGTAGAGACTAAGACTGAGAGCCGCCCTTTTTCTTCTGGAATTTTCTGAACTGAGATTGTATCGCCACAGCAGCTTTCTCTGTCTCTGGTGCATCCATGTCTATGTCAAAATCCTCTGGAACCTTCTTTTGTGTATCTGTATCAAGAAAATGAATAAACACAAAAACAAATAATTAATACACATTTAAGAAGAAAATTACCAGCATGGATTCTCTGAAGAGAAGCCAGACATAGAAACCTAGTGATCTCTTCCTCTCATATTTCCATATATCCGAGAGATCTCGCCTTCCCACTCGATTGACAATGTTCTGAGACATGATGAGTGGCTGAGAATTAGCTGGCATTTCTCAACCTTGCCAAGATTGAGAGACACCAATGTAGACTTTATTTTAAAAATCCCACATCTTTAACTAAGGCTGTTAGCAATGTAATAGATTAAAACCATTGTTTAGTATCAGCCTCCAGTTTGAGGCCAGAAAAAAAAGGAGGGGAGGAGGGTTAAGGGAGGCTGAGAGCAGACACCAGCTGTCCCGGAACGACTAACATAGCTGTCTGCTTGGAATGAGCTACCTACAAGGATTTTTTTTCCACAACTTCCTAAAATTTTATTTTGATAAATAACTTGAGCAAATTATTTGTTCAGTGTTTCTAGGATTGAGGCCCACTTGGGAAGTAAGAATATTTGAAAGGCTTGCAGACAAGATTCCTGCAAAAAAAAACTGGCAGACTGACAGGGCTGCCATGATGAGCATGGTCAGCCACTGGACACCATTTACCAAAAGGCAAACTAACTTTCTTGGAATGCCAAAGGCATTCTTGCAAATAAATTGCATTGCAGAAGGCTGGCACTTTGCTCTGCAGCATGTCAATATCCTACTTAAATTAATTAAAATTAATTAATGTAAATAATTAATTAAAATATTTTAACAAGCTCCAGGGGAAGCTGAACTTGTGGGTCACCAGGGGAATTGTCTGGCAGCACACTGGTGCCCGAAGGCAGTATGTTATGGATTCCTGGCTGGCATTATCTCTTCCAAAAATAAATTAATTGACAAGATTTTTCAAGTAGAATTTGCTCCTAATGTATTCTCAACTTCTTTAATTCTCAATTATTTTTAAACAAACATTTATTGACCATATCAATAGTGGTACTGAATATCTCATATCTACGGTAACAGTACTTATTTAGAACAAATGGACTGGAAACCCAATTTGTTCACTCTATTATACGACGTCTTACTCTAAACAGAGAAATACAGGCACAACTTTTCACAGTAGAATCACTGAGCTCTACTGTTTTATTTATAACCCAGGAGGGCCTGTGTTAAAAATTTATAATTGCTTTGTTTATTGTATAGTTGTATACAATAAACCCAGGAGGGCCTATGTTAGAAAATTATAATTGCTTTGTTCATTGTATACTTTTAGCTATTTGGTGTTTGCTTTTTAACAGCAGGTTTTTTTATATGAAAATTTTTCAAAAATATGTTTGCTATGATTAAAATAGGTATTTAAAACAGATGATATGGATATAGTTTTAATATGAAATAAGTCCTGTGAATGAATGTCTATGGAGATTCTCAGTCATCCAGGTCATGGTTGTCCCAAAGGTGCTTTTTCACAAGGCAACTGGACTTCTTTTTTCTCTTTGAAGGCATTTTGCTTCTCATCCAAGAAGCTTCTTCAGACCTGAAGAAGCTTCTTGAATGAGAACCGAAACATCTTCAAAGAGAAAAAAGGAAGTCCAGTTGCCTCGTGAAAAAGCACCTTTGGGACTGTGAATGAATGATTGTGCCAGTCATTTCATATTCCATTTTACATTTGTTTGGCCCTAGTAGAAGGCTGATATTGCTAAGAATGCTTCAGGTGGTTGCTCCATCTTCCTCTTTCTCCAACACCTTTTCTAGAAGACCTCATTTCTTTGGAGCTTTCTGAAGTCAGTAATGACTAACTTCAGAGTCAATCATCCATAGAAATTGGAGACAAAACTGAATTTCATGTGAGAATCCTAGCTTAGGATTGGAGCACTGGAGAAATTTGTTCAAATTATTTTCTTTGCTTATAACTTCATCTAATGAAAACCATCTATATGGAATGTGTGGACATAGGTTTTCTCAGATAATGGATCTGGAAAGGGGCATGTTTATCTATTCAGAAAATGCACAGAAAATGTTAAATATAACACCTCCAGAACTGCTGTTTCACTCTAGGTTTTCTCATGCACACTCATATAGATATGCCACCATTTCTGAGACATCACTGGAAATACAAGGGCTCTAAATTAAATTGAGTAATTGAAAAAAATACTTCCCCAAAAGTTAATAGGAAACCACCTCCACACTGTTGTACTAAAAACTCATGGAAGTATGTGCATAATTACCAGAAATCACCTAACTTAAAAGATGCATATTTGTTTTGATTTGTTTTCTGTTTTTTTTAATGCTGTTTTAATTGCTGTGAGCTGCCCAGCATTGCTTAGGGAAGGTGAGTGGCTATACAAATCAAATAAATAAATCAGTAACACTGGCTGGATTGCACTTTAAAAGCAAGAACTATAAAGGTAAGAAAGAAACCTACATCCAGAAAAAAAGAATCCAAATAAACCAACCAAAATCTAACTATCCTGATTCTCTCCCCAACTTCTGCTTCCTTCTGAGCTCCATCCTAATAGTATACCTCCCTTTTAGAATATATTAACTCTTTTAATATTTTGTTGCTGCAGGAAACATGGGTCATAGGTGAGATCTCTTTCTCCAGATACACTCCATACACACTCAAGGCATTACCCAGTGTTAAAAATAAAAGATTTCTCAGGAGTGTTGAACAAAATGGTTGCTACAAAATTCAACCTCTCTGTGTCTATATTGGGGCCACATGCCAGTATGGTCCTTGTCCATTTCTTTCATCTTAAGCCTCACAATATGTTATTCATCAATATATATCTTCCCCTATTACACAGACATGGTGAAGTTAATAGTGTTTGGGATATTCTTGGCAACTATATCTCTAGACTGCTTTGCCAGTACCCAGATGCATTAGTAATTATTGCTGGTAATTTCAGTGCTCATATTGGAGAGTCAGATGCTTTTTTACAAACTCATTTTAACTGGTCTCTCCCTTCAAATGAAATAATCTTTTCTTTATAGGCTCAACTGTCTAAAAATAGAACTATAAAATGGCAGGCTTCGGAATGGACCAGCTTATAGGTAATCTGGATGTGGAACTACCTTCTGGAGCTCCAAAGGAGCAAATGTGGTTGATTATTTTATGGTTCCACATAAAATACTTAATTTAATAAACCCACATAGTGACCCTTTCCCATTAATCTGTCATCTGAGTCCTAAAGTAATTATTAAGTTCCTAGCTGTAGTTCACTGTCTTCTGAGGCCATCGCAAAAAGACTCATTCAAAATAAATGGTCTTCTAGAATTGCAGAAAACTTGTCCACTCTGTTAAATTCAGAACCCTTCCTTCAACTCCACTTCCAAATCTGTTTAGCAGATTCCTCTGAAAAGATATTGTCAGAATAGATATTACCAATCTATTATCCACACTCTCAGACTCCATTATTTAGAGTTTGTTTAACAAATTGGTAAACAGGTTGTTGTTGTTGTTTTTTTAAAAAAAGACCCTTCTTACTGCAATACACACTTTTCAACCTAACAATTCATGAGGTTCCCTTCAATCACTCAGAGAGCACAAGATGTTCTATAAAGCACTGAGAAAGGATTGAAGGAGAAGCTAAGCTTAAAAACTCAGCCTGGCTACGGTGCCTAGTTAATTGCTCTCCTATAAGTAGTGTTTTAGATTTCATCTGCCAAATATCTGTGGATATTTGAACAAGTTACTTTCAGAACATTTTAAATTCAGAAATATTAAATAAATAATCCAATGGCGGTGGATGAATCAGTGATGGCTTCTCCTGAATGCCCTCCTGTGTCTATCATTGAGGCTGAGTATTTCATTGTACAACTGAAACCTGGGAAAACTCCTGGAACTCCCTCCAGAGAGGCTGAAAAAAAGTAAAGATTGTTAGGCCCCAATGGCGGCTTCTCTTTTAACTTATATTGATAGCACAGCACATTTTCCATCTGAATGAAATGAGGCCGTAGTTATCCCTCTTTAGAGGAACAGAGGAAATGGACTTAACCCTGCCAGCCATAGATCAATTACTTTGCTTAATATAATAAGCAAAATATATGCAACATATTTTTATTTAAAACTGTTGGATTGTGTCCAAAGTGAAAATATTAGAGTTGAGGAACAGGAAGGGTTTAGAGGGGACCGTTCAACCTTAGACCATTACTCTGGTCTCACACCATTTAGCTGAAAAATATTCTTCATCACTGCCCACTGGCATCCTTTTTGCAGCCTTTATGGATTTGAGATCAGCTTTTGATGTGACTCCAAAGGAGAGGTTATGACAAAAACTTCAGGAATCTTGCATGGATAGAAAATTTTTCCTTCTTATCCAGACTCTCTATTCTGACATCTCACTGAGAGTCAAATGTTTCCCCTAGGAACACCTTTCTGGAGTTGTTTCCATGAAAAGAAGGGTAAAGAAAAATGTGTATCCAAGCCCCCTTACTTTTGAATTTGTACATCAATTCATTAATTCAGCTTTACCATCTTCTAGTCATCACTCTCCAATGTTAGCAGGTCATCCAATTTCAGCCTTGCTATATGTAGAAATATTGTCTGTCTCCCAGGTGGGAATGAAAAGGGCATTGAGGACATTGTCTTCTCTTTGCCTAAAAGAACAGCTTGTAGTAAATTATCAAAAAATTAGAACGCCGGTGATTGCATGATACAACACTAGGTTACATAAATAGAAAATTAATGGACCTCCAATAGAGCAGGTAGTACTTATAAATATCTCAGAGTGGCAGTTTCAGGGTTCCTTATCTTGGAGTATCTTCTCTTATAGGGGAAGTATAGCCCAGTGTAGGCCCAAAGCTGCCTTAAGAGTCTTCCATTCAAAGAAGGCACATTTTATTCCTGCAGCTTGCAAAGTTTTCCTTGCTAAGGTCATCCCTCAGCTACTTTATGGTGTTCTAATTTGCATTTTTACAAAGTTTAGTATCCTGGAAGCTGTCCAGTCCACATTTGTAAGAGCAATATGCGCAGTTCTAAGAC